ATTAAGATCTACTGTTTCATCCTCCCATTTTTCCCAAACAATATTCTGAAAAAAATAAAGTCAAAATTTTAAATTTTGCAGGCATACCTGACAGATGCATCACTCTCCGCACCAAAGTTTATCCTTGCCGACACGCTAAGGAAGTACTGGTTCTCAAATTGATTGAAATAAATTGAGCCATTAAACTGCCTGAGCTCGAGAGTCGATATAAAAGGCACTCCAGTTGTAGCATTTGACAAACAAACGCTCATGGTAGGATCCGAAGCCAAGAAAATCAACTCCTCACTCTCTATTGTGTTAGCATCTGAAATCACTATTGTGGCCCAATGTGTTGGTCCAAACGAGATATCGAACTTGGGATACACATTGTTGTTATCAAAGTCCCCATACAAGAAAGTAGCCCTTATAAGATACCTGGTTCGACTAATAACATTTAGTGTGTAGCAATATTTATAGTCATCTGCTGGGAAATATCTTAGTGTTCGGTACTGTTGTCTGGTCTCGTTGGCTACAGATATGTTGGCCACTTGTCCGTTTAACATGTAAGTGTCATGACTCCATTCAAGGCCTAGCTCGTCAGTAAAATTATCCGTACCGCCACAATTGATACTCACAAAACCTGCATACGTGGGCATTAATGAGAATATGTATACTTTTTTTTTTCTCTCACAAGAAGCTCAAGAATTTCATGTCATAGAAAGTTATTGCAACACATCAGACATTATATCGAGCATGAGACATTGAAATTATGCTTCCTAGTACAATTTTAGTACCATTTTTTTTTTGTATGATAAAAGGGTGGACTACTATATAAATGTTTGATATTAACTCTAATAATGGTTTTCAGAACAATACATTATTCAAACCAATGGCAGTTTCGGATTATGTTATGTAGTTTGTCTTTGAAGCATTGTCTCAAAAGTGAAAACAGGAAAAACATTTCTTCAAGTGATATTGGTCCTCTAAATAGGATTCTAATTCTTTTTCCTTTTTTTTTCCCCATGTATGTATCTTGCAGTAATAAGGAGACTGGCTTACCAGAGAATTATGAAAACGAAATGTATAGGAGCTAATTAGAACATTTTGTAATATCAGCTTAAAAAATTCATTCATTTCAAAAATTCCACAATCAATTTAAAAGGATTAAATGAAAAGAACCTGTAGAAGCAGTGAAACAGATGTCTCAACTAAAAAAATGAGGTGTCCTACTTTGCATACACATATCTTAGGATAAAAATGAAGCTTATGAGATGCAACACTTTTTGGTTTTTACATGTTCCACTAATAAATCATTTTGGTTTTAGGCCTAACACCACGCGAAAAAATAAATAAATAAAAAAGAAAAGGGGAAAGACTCCGTTTTGAGGATCATAGAGCCCCCTCTACGGCTGCATAGCATAAAATGAATATGGAGACTAAATCAAGTCAAGGTCTACTCAAAGTCAACAGAGCTTATTTTACTTGAATATGAAATGTAACAGAGTAGTTTGCACAAACAAAATCTGGAAATATTACTAACAATTAGAAGGTCATGCTTGAACCCAATCCACCATGTTCATGATTTATTTTCTTAAATTTGGCTGAATCGCTTAGTATATGAGCTTCACGAATGCATACACATAGTAGGTTTGTCATAGCCAAAATTTACAAACTTTTCCCTATATTTTACAACTCTTAGGTAAACTAAAGTCCTGAGATTATCGATTCCATTTCTGTGCCAACAAAACTATGACTTTATCCAACATTTTCAATAAAACTGAATCTTATTCTAAGGCAACTATTTCAACACCTACCAGCAAAATACTACAAAATCAGATATCATAGCTAAAAGCAAAATTCAAGAACCCAGTGCTAGNCAAGCAAAAACTCAACCAATTGCTTGAAACTCTCGACAGCAACAACTACAACAAAAACCACAACAACAATTGTAATAAACCATATTTTCAGGGGAAAAAAATTATATAAAAATGGAGAAACCTGGCATCTGGGCTGCGCAGAAATCCATGAGAAGAAAAGCATAGAGAATAACAGTGAGAAAGAGAACTCCAAAAGTCCTCATTTTTCTTCTCTTCATTCCAAATAGGGTGAAAAAAATGGTGGCCAAGAAATATTAAGCCATAAAAACCATGATAGGAAAGTGTGACAGATGGAAAGTGTCTGAAACACAGCACGATTTCGCAGATTTTGTTTTTCCAAAAAAAAGGTGAAAAATGGAAATTTGGCTCAGAAGATGGGAAAAGGCAGATGAACATACATCTGGAAGCAAGATTCTGTATATAGATTTCTTATATATTTATGTAATCCATCTTGTTTTACTTGTGAAAATTATTACTAAAATTTGAGTGAGATAGAATGTTCTTGAGTGTGAACTGTTTATGAGAGAGTAGATTGTTTGTAAGTGTTAAAGTGAGTCAAGAACTCTGGCACAACCTGTCACTGTTGGCTGGCCACCCTTTGCTTGTTTATGGAATAATTTGTTCAAAATGAGTTATTTTGGTTAATTATAGTTAATTTTGAAAAAAGTAGTATGATTAGTTGTTAGTGAAATTTTAAAAATGTATTAAAATAATATTTAAAATAAAATGATTAAAATTGATTTGATGTAAAAGTAGAAGATAAATGATTGAAAATGATTGGAAATGATAGGTAGTTAAAATTATGTGAGTGGACGAATAGTGAATTAAAGTTGATTTGATGTGTAAGAATGATTGGTTTGTATAATTTAATTATATGAATAATATTAAAGATGGTGGAGTTGGGTTGAAGTTGAGTTAGATTTTGAGTATGAATTGAATGAGAATTAAATAATTTATAAACAAGCATGTCCTAAACTTTTTAATTTCATAATTTTAGTTTTCTTTATTACTTTTCACTATATTTATTACTTTTCACTATATTAAATTATTATTGATATTATCTTAGAGTGTGATTGAATATAACCTTCACCTTTAAAAAAAACCAATCAAAATTTAAATTTAACTCAATTTTAACTTAATTCACTATTCTTAATATTAATATAATTAACTAATATTAACCAATTATTCTTACACATCACATTAACTTTAATTCACTTTTCATCAACTCATATAATTTTAACTAATCACCATTTTTAATTATTTTTCTCATATTCTTACATCAGGTTAACTTCAATTATTTTATTTTAAATATTATACTAATTTAAACTTAAATTTCCACGAACAACTAACTATATCACTTTTCTCAAAAATTAACTATGGTTAATAAAAAAATCAATCAACAACCAATGAAATTCATATTTAATCACACCCTTATTCGCAACCATGATTATTTATTTTATCATTGTTTTTATTTTGATTTCTTTATATAATGAAAATTTTGTAAAATATATTTTCATTGCAGAGTATGCTAAATAAACTATAAATCCTTATAATGCAAATTAGAAAAATCTCATGATTATAGAAGGAATTGATTTTTGGCATTTGCTAAAATCAAATTTGTTTAATTAATATACAACATTAAATTCTAAAAAAACATGTGTGTATATTTTGTAAAATATTTATACACTATTTAATTTTAAACTTATTTACATATTTTAAATTGACTACATAAACAAATAATACTGACCTGCATTAAATATTTTTCATTGCATTAAAAAAAAAGACGTACAACTTTTATATATAATGATGGCATTATATGATAACAAAATTTATAATAAAATAATAAATAAGTATTATACGGTGAACAATAATAAGTAAAACTATTGTTTTCTCTTATATCTAGGCATAAATATATATACTACAATCAAATTTATATTAGTACAAATGTATTGAGATAATATGTTAATTATTTTATAAGCTAGCCCTAACATGCTCATATTTAATGTTCTGGCTAAAAAAACGCTGATTAAAAGAGGTGAAAAATAGATTATAATCCTATTATTTTTTAGATTTAACGTTGACTAAAAGATGTAGAATATTAGATGATATAGAAACTCTATGGAGCCATCAGATGGTTCCCTTATCAAGCCATCCATAACTTTGTTTATTGACACGTGTCCAATGTGTATTTATTACAGGACACGTGTCAATACATCAGTTGTGAATAACTATGGATGACTCCATAACCTTAATGTTTTTTAGATTTATACAGACAGATCATGTGAAAATAACTCATTTAATATCTCTGTCACGTGCATAGCACGGGCCGTACTAGTTTGTATAAAAGTGTCAAGTAATTAATTTTGGTTGTATAAACTTACTAACATCTTCCATTATTACATTATTGGATAAACTTAAAGTTGTCACAAAAGTTTGAATGCAGTAAGTTGAAATTCATAAATGTGTCATTTTAAGAGAAACTAGAGATCCCCTTTCTCCTCCGATAAAAAAAATCCGACTCCGACTGTCTTCATCTTCTCGATAAAATCCGGCTCCCTGAGCGGCCGTCTGGGATAGTCAGCGGACGGCCTCCTCCGCTCCTCCATGGCGTCGGCTCTTCTGGCCTTGATTTCGTCGCCTCTGGATTTGGGATAGGGTTTTGACGGTTCTCTCCGCTTGAAATCCGCGAGATTTCAGGGGTTTCGGGGCTCGGCAGGGAGTGGTCGCGAGTGGAAGATGCTGAAGCCGCTCGATTCGGTTAGTTTGGGGCGCTTCTTATCGGCCGGTATGGAGGGGGCTGCGGGCGGTTTCCGGCTCCAGCGGGGGTCGTTTCCTCGTTGGGGAGGGGTGGCGGGTCGGGCCTCACCTATTCGGGCTGGTTGTTGGGATGTGTGCCAATCGAGCCGGGTTGTAGCTGTCAGGCAGGAAAGCCCTCATCTCCTTTCTCCTCTTTCTCGATTTGATTTCGGGGAGGCCGACAGCCCCCGGAGCAGGCTAGTGGTGTTAGGTTGCTTCGGGTGGGTGTCGGATCGGCTAGTGGTGTTAGCCGGCTGGGGGGTTCTGTGGTTTTTCGCGGCTGGAGTGCGGGTCGGGTTCTCGGATTGATGTAGAGGCTTGGGTCATCGTCTTGCTAGGCCTTTCGCAGTGGCGGGCGTGGTATCGGAGTTTCGAAACTCTCCTCGGAATCGGATTGTCTGCGGTCTTTTCTGGGTGTTTCGGCTTAGGGAGGCTTTGTTATTAGGTTGTAGCGGTTTTTGTGTTTTTGTTTGTTGTTGTATTCTCGGTTAGTGTTTTGGTGTGTTTGTTCGGTTTAGTTTGGGAGATGAGATCAGGCTAGGCATCGTGCAGTGGTTCTGATTTCATTTTCTTTTTTTGTTGTTTGGAGTTCTCTAGGCCGCCATGTGCGTGTCCTCTCAGTTTTCTTTTCCGTTGTTTATTAGGAGTGTTTTTGGTTTGGGCTGTTGGCCCCTGTCTCATTACCCTGTTGGGGCCTTAGTATTACCCTGTTGGGGTCTTGTAATTTGTTCCTTTTGCACTTTTGTGCTTTTTTATAGTACATCTATCGTTTCGGAAAAAAAAAAAA